TTGTTGATAAGGGTAAGGAACCACAAACTAATAGTAGACTAAAGAGTCAACCTATTCGAATTGTTGTGTAAGCTACGAAGAGTAAAGTTCATCTGAGGAGTAATATGAAAGGTAGTCAAGCTACTCATCGGATCGGATAGGACCTAGTAATGGGAAACCGAGAGGTGAGCCCACCAAGAGTCACTTCTTGAAGAATAACTCTTCATGCAGAAACCCTATAAACTACTCTATGGGCCGTAACTCAAGGAGTTTACTGCAAAGGTTCAAGAAGCCCTAGAGGCAAGCTAGAAAGCCAATGAGGGGTGCCGAGAGGTATCTTTCTAATGAATATTGGCTCATGGTCCATAAACCTATGTCAAAAGCTCAATTTGAAAGGTTGCATAGACTCAAGCAACAATCTTTTTCTAGAGTGCGTAGTAATGTGGCAAGACCCCAATTTCAAAAAATATATGCACCTAAAAAGCCCAAGAATTTTCAAAATATCTCTTACGATTTTAACGTTTTTAATGGCTATATTCCACTTCTATGAAGAATTGTAATAGATTTTAATGATGTAGAGTGTATTCATATTACAACTTTAGACCTGTTGGAAAAGATTATTTAAGCTTTCATGGTAGTCCATCTGAACCATTAATCTCCATTACTATATAAATTTTCAACAAGACCCATCATTCTTTGTTGTAAATTTAGATAAGTTTCGCAGATGGATTGACCAAGAGGAAGCAGTTTTGGAAGGAAGAGCTGCGGAAGGAAACAAATGGAAGGAGCCAGGTCAGAAGGAAGTGAAGGGGATTAGAAGTTGTCAAAGACCAGAAAGAGTCTTGGCAACTCTTTTTGACTGATAAAAAGGGATGTTTTACTATATTCCAAGCATCTCAATTGGAGGACATTTAAGGATGACCATCCTCGGATGAAGTTCATCCAAGTGTAACAAAAAGGAGTCATTAGACCATTGCAACTTGATAAGTGCCAAAGATGTTTTGCTTGTGGGATGATTTGGAGTTAATTTGTGCTATAATTGTTGTCCTTTGAGCATATTGTGTAGTTTAGATTGTCTAAATTTCTATAAATTGAGTTTAGTGCTAATGTTGAGATACTTTTGTATTCTTTTTTAAGTACAAAGGACCAAACCAAGGGCACAATGGTAAAAAAAAAAAAGGATCCAAAATACGAAAGGTGCGGGAATGGACCATCACGTAGGGTGTTACCACATGACCAATGGCGTAATATAAACATCTACAAGCTAATTCATGCCACAAGTCACGCGGTAACATAGCTCGTGATACAAACTTCTATGGCTGAGTTCTACTGATCACGCCAATAATCACGAGGTAACACGCCTTATGAGGGAGTCCTATGAAGATGCAGTTCACCTCGTCATGTAGGCCATTACTGCGTGATGGCCAGCGTGACACTCAGGCAGTTACCGCATGATGGCTTACGTGAAACTCAGGCACTATCACGTGCTGAGCTGTGTGATTTAAGGAAAATCTACGGGTATATGAAAAAATACGTGAGTCTTGAATGCAAGATTTAGCTCTTAAAAACTTTGATTTATTTCAATTATAAAGCTGGACTAGATGAAAACATATTCCAGATATAATAAAGAACACGAAATAAATAGCAGTAAAAGAAAGCATGCACCAGGATATGTTCACGCAGTTCGGAGCCTCACTCCTACGTCTGCGGGGCCACTCACATCAACCCAAATCCACTATGATAAAAACAGAGTACAAGAGGAGAGTTAATTACACACTAAAGTATAACCTATAACTACTCCAGAACCTACTCTAGTGGATCCGATGTGCAAGCGTTCTTCATTGCTTCATGATCTGATTACAAGATCTTCTTCACACTCAACAGTACAGGATGTATTTGGTATAGATGCACCAAGATTTTCAGAGTAAAGCTATGTGAAAGAGTGCGTAATTAATGCTAATTAAGGTAGCATTATATATAAATTGTAAAGAATGTTTTGATTTTCAAAACATGCACTCTTCCACTCCTTGAATTCGGCTGCTCCATTAGATTTAGATCTCCCCATTGATAGGGTCTTGAATAAATACTTTGAACAAGCTTCATACCTCCTGGATTACTTCCTTGCGCTGATCCAGTCAACTACTCCAGACGACGTGACTAATCCAGCAACTAATCCAGTACTACTTTGACAACTAATCTAAGCCAATAATAAAGAGGTTTAAATGTGAAATATATTTACACTTACAATCTCCCTCTTTGGCTATTAGTTGACAAAACTACTAAAAGATATCATCGGCTTTAATAAACAAAATAATTGCCAAATGAATAATCTATACAATAGAAATCGGATTAGTCACTAGTCAAGAGTAGCTAGACACACACCCTCCTTAAACTTAACCAATGTTGTGCCAGAGAAGTTCAAACACAATTAAAGCATACAAGCACATAGAAAATTAAAGCACAAAGAGACACAGAACACATAAATATCACATAATATAGCTGCATAGCATTTACCACAGAGTCAAGGAAAAACACGCAGCACCTTAACACATATAAAAGCAAAATAAAGGTAGAGCACACCACATTATTCACTGGCACTTATGGCTAAGTTCACAAAAACTCCCCCTTACTACGTGCACTCCCCCTTTTTTTCAAGCTAATGGTCAAAGAGCAGCATCAGGACTGAGTGGAGGAGGAGGAGGTCTCCAAGTCTTCATCATCACCAGCAGGGGCAGCAGTAGAAGCGCTCTCAAAAGAAGCAATCTGACGATTGGTGCGGAGCAGCTGAGCCTCGGCAGTCGAGATGGAAGATTGAAGGGCAAGAGAGGCATCTTTCATGGTAGCAATGTGTGAGGTGAGAAAGGTAACTTGTTGTCGAAGAACAGCCAGAGTTGAAGCAGAATCAGTAACGGAAGCAGTAGGTGTAGAGCCTGTCGCTGGAGGATCAGCTGGAGTAGAAGCAGGTGGAACTGAGGAGAGAGTGGCCCGATCATCATAGTAGGACCTTTGGAAGATGCAAGAGTCCATAGAGGTCTTGTGAGTAACATGACAGAGCTCTTCATTGGAGTAGAGTTGAAGCCTTTGTTGTTGCAGAATCCCGGTGATAAGACATGGAAAAGGGAGATGAATTTTGGCTTCCTTCTTCTTAGCAAAACTCATAATGTGATGGTAGATGAGATGACCAAGATCAATAGGTAGTTGATGTCGGACTTTGTATAACAGAGAAGCCATTTTCTTAGTGACAGTGTGCACAGAGACATTTGGAATCCAGTTGCTAGATGCTAGCCGAAACATAACCGAGTACACTGCAGTAAGGACATTTGAGGGAAGACCATCCTTTGACCAGATTGTGATCTCATTGTGGGTAAGATGGGATGCAAGAAAATCCCCAGCAGGCTCAAATAGATCATCGCACGCTTCATGCTGAAAATAAGAATTTATGATAGAGGGACTAAAATCATATCAAACATCGCGCAGAAAAACCTGATGATAATGTGGAGAGGCCGGCAGGAGAGAATCAGATGAGAGATTTGCGTAGAATTCCGGAATGAGCCAGACAGAGTAAGATCCCACATTCTGGATAGTCTAGAGAAGATTTTGAGCCCGAAGAAGAGGAATGATATTGCACGTGTGGATGAGGTACTCAATACTGAAATTCTTCTCAACCAAGATGTCACGATTGGAGTGTTGATGCCAAACTGTTTCTAATGCAGGAGAGAGCAGGATAGGTATGAACATGGTCTCCTTGGATACCTTAGGGGTCTTGGACCTTGATGATGTGGCCGGCTTTGAAGCAGGAGCAGAAGCTGGAGGAGGAGCCGGAGTAGACACACCAGTTCTCGATCGTGTACGCAGAGCAAGACCTGCAGGACGATGTTCAGAACGCTTGCTAGGACGAGATTCAGAGATAAATTCAACCTCATCATACACATGAAGCTTTCTCTTAGCTACTGGAGCTGGAACAGGTGCAACTGGAGCTTCATCTGGATCAGTAACTTTGGCTTTCCCTCTGGCCTTGGATGTAGCAAAAGGCACTTTGACAATTGGGACAGCCGACTTTGCACGGGCAGAGTTTGGCATATTAGCAATGGTGTCCGAGACAATGGTTGCTTGAACTGATGGATCTTTAGGCTCAGAAACGATGTCATGAATTGAAACCTTCGAAACAGAGCCTAGAACAGAGGCTAGATCACCAGAAGCAGGATCTGTGGCTGGAGCAACGGCTGGAGTAGAAGCCATAACAGTGACTGGACCATGTGAGTGCTCAGCCATCTTCGGATTGGCCTCGTCAGTGCGTTGAGCTAGGGAACCTGTGAAAGCAATCTTAGACAGAGGCACAAGAGACATACCAGCAGAGGGATCCTAATTGCGCAAGACAAAGGAATAATCTCAAAAAAAGCAGACCACACATAACCAAGACAATATATGCTAATTAGAGCACAGAAATGCGATGCATGCCTAAGCAAAAGCAATAAGAGATTGCTTCCTAAGAGGATAGAGAAATCAAACCGTAGATTGAGTCCGTAGTTGCCTAGCCCGAAGCTCTGCCTGAAGATTCTCCTCATCTAAAATGTCATCAAGAGGCCATGGGTCATCCGTGATTCCTGAAGCCCTGGCAAAGATCTCCTTGGAGTCCTTCACGGATAATTCCTCCATCAGAGATGGGTATCGAAGTAGCGTCGCAAGAACTCGGCGAGATGAGAGGTCCGAAATCAGAGCTGTGCCTCGAAGGATTTGGCGATAGAGATCTGAACGCTCATCTTCCGTAAGATAGAAAAGGAAAGGATTAAGATCAGAATGTCTAGCCATATGTGAGATAGGTAAAATCGAATCGATTGGGTAGAAGATTTAGGCTAGGATTCGAATGTTTAGATGGAGAGCTTGAGAAGAGTTTAAAGGAAAATGGGAGAGATATTAGGGATTTGATTCTATAAATTTGGGGAAGAAGACGGTGGTGTGTAACAGCCAGGAGAGAGAAAGAATTAATAAATAATTCTAAGCATATAGTGCGGTCGAAGGGCTTAATTTTCGGTCTGGAGAACTTCCTGGAGCAGAGAGCAGATCTGAAGAAATGTCTGGATTAACCCTAAAAAAAACATAAACAAACACAAGGCAAAAGAAATGCAAAAAACTTTATTTGGTTTTAAAAAAAAAAAAACTTAGGTCGAAAACCTACACACTCCAAGAGCAGCTCGAAGTAATTCAAATCTTGTGTTATCAAGAGGTTTTGTAAATAGATCAGCTAGGTTTTTCTCTGTGGAAATGTATTCCAGGCTGATTTCCTTGTCTTCTATCAATTCTCTTATGAAATGATGTCGTATTTCAACATGTTTAGTTCAGGAATGTTGAACTGGATTTTTGGAGATGTTGATAGCACTAGTGTTGTCACAATAGAGAGTCATGTATTCTTGATGTAGACCATAATCTTGAAGCATTTGTCTCATCCATAGGAGCTGCGTACAACAGCTAACAACTGCTATATATTCCGCTTCAGCTGTGCTAAGAGATATCGAATTTTGCTTCTTACTTAGCCAGGCGACTAAGTTTTTTCCAAAAAAGAAACACCCACCAGATGTACTTTTGCGGTCATCTGCATTTCCGGCCCAGTCGGCATCACTGTATCCTACAAGATTCAGATTAGTATCATTCGAAAACCAAATGCCATAATTGAGAGTACCTTTGACATATTTGATTATTCTTTTCAGGGCTTTAAGATGTGATTCTTTAGGAGCCGCTTGAAATCTGGCACATATTCCAACACTGAGCATAATTTCTGGACGGTTGGCTGTCAGATACAGTAGACTCTCGATCATGCTCCTTCATTGGTTTGTTGGACTTCTAGTCCTAGAAAATAGGTTAGTTCGCCGATCATACTCATTTCGAATTCCTGTTGCATGACTTGAACCAGCTGATCTGTAGCACCTGTTTGAGTGGAACCAAAGATAATATCGTCAATATAAACCTAAGCAATTGTAATATGCATACCTGACCTTTTGATAAATAAGGTTTTGTCAACTCCCCCTCGGTTGTAGCCGTGCTGGAGAAGATACTGGGATAACCTTTCATACTAGGCCCTTAGAGCTTGTTTTAGACCATATAGAGCCTTGTCCAGTTTGTAGACATGGTCAGGATGATGAGGATCTTCAAACCCTTTAGGTTGAGCAACATATATATCTTCGGACAGATATCCATTTAGAAAAGCCGTTTTGACATCCATCTGGAACAATTTTATCCCTAGAGCACAGGCTATACATAGAAGAAGGTGAATAGATTCTAGGCGTGCTACCGGTGCAAATGTCTCTTCATAATCAATTCCTTCAATTTGAGAGTAGCCTTGTGCAACCAGTCTTGCTTTGTTGCGAGTAATGTTTCCAGCTGAATCAGTCTTGTTGTGAAAAATCCATTTTGTTCCTACAACATTCACACCGTCAAGCTTAGGGACAAGATTCCATACCTTGTTACGCTCAAATTGTCCAAGTTCTTCCTGCATAGCTTTAATCTAGTGTTCTTCCGATAGGACTTCTTTTACCGTCTTGGGTTCGATCTTTGATGTGTAACACGTATACCCTGCAAGCTCAAGATAATTTCGTTTAATTCCTCTAGTTCGTACTACAGAGGATGGATCTCCTATGATGTTTTGTGTAGGATGATCTTTGTGAGTTCGGACAGCCACTTCGAGTGCTCCAGCATCTGGTTCTGGACCAGGTTCTGGACTAGGAAATGGAGGAGTCGGAGTAGGATCTGATGATGCAGTTTCAGGGGGTTTTGGATTATTTGTGTCAGGTTCTAGAGTAACTTCTGGATCAGAGACTCTTATGACATCGATTATTTCCTGAGGTTGATCATCAACCACCACGTTTGCCGATTCCATGATGGATTTTGTAACTTTGTTGTAGACACGGTAGGCACGACTATTCGTTGAGTACCCAAGAAAATACCCTTCATCACTTTTAGGCTCAAATTTTCCAGTTGGGTTTCGGTCCTTCAAAATAAAACACCGTGAGCCAAAAATATGAAAATAGTTAATATTAGGCTTCTTACCTTTCCATATTTCATATGGAGTGTGATGCGTTCTAGGTCGTAGATATACTCGATTTATCGTGTGACAAGCAGTACTTACTGCTTCAGCCCAAAATCTCTTAGGCAAATCTTTTGCATTTAGAAGAACCCGAGCCATCTCTTGAGCCGTTTTGTTGTGGCGTTTTCGGTGCTGAATATTCATGGAAGATACCAACCGATGCACACCAATCATCAAACACTTGATTGTCGAATTCACGTCCATGATCACTTCTAATGCGTATGATTGGCTCATCTTTCTCTTTTTGGAGTTTTAAGGCCAGAGCTTTGAAGGCTTCGAAAGTTTCTGACTTTTCCCTGAGAAAACTTACCCACGAAAAACGAGAAAAATCGGTAACACAAACTAAAATATACCTTTTACCTCCAATGCTTTCTGTTCGGGTAGGACCAATGAGGTCCATGTGAATGAGTTTCAAGCAGTGTGTAGTGTTGATCGAATTTTGAGAGGTATATGCTGCTGTAGTTTGTTTTCCATCTTGACAAGCGCTGCATACTCCGGCTGTTTCTACCTTGATATTAGGTAGACCTCGTACACCCTCAATCTTGATTAATTTTTCAAGAAAGCGATAATTTAAGTGACCTAACTTTTGATGCCATAGTTTTGATTCTTTTATGCTGGACCTGTAACAATAAGAATCGTTAGTAAGTATATAGCAATTATCAGAAGAGCGTTTACCTTCCATGACACAGTTCTTTTGGTGGTCTGTGATGTTGCAGCTATCTTTTGTAAAGCAGACTTTCCATTCCTGATCACATAATTGGCTGATAATTATCAGATTTGCATGAAGGCCTTCCACCAAGAGAACTTGTTTGAGTTTTGGTAGTCCTGTTACATTTAGGGTGCCAATTCCAGTGATCTTACCCTTAACCCCATCACCGGAAGTTACTTCTCCTGCACTTCCCTTTATATTGTTTAGAAACTTAGCATCACCTGTCATATGACGCGAACATCCACTATCAAAGTACCATCTCTCTTTTCTGTTAGTACTCGTAGAGTGGAAAGAGACGTGTCAGACAAAGTCACTTTTCTTCACCCAAATTTGCTTGACAAACGGGGTGATAGACTTGTTGGTGTATTTCTCAAAACGTTGGTCTTTGTAGAAATAGAAGCACTCCGGTTTTGTATGTCCGCGTATCCTGCAGTAGTGACATATAGGGTTATACAATCTAACCTTGGTTGACTTTTTACTTGGAGCAAATTTGACTTGACGTTGAGCTGTACTAGTTTTTGGACTATCTTGATTTGCTCCAGAGACTGAGTCAGGGCCTGAGGCTTTGACGAAAATTGTAGTAGCTTTGTCCTTTCCTCCAGAATAGCCTAACCCATATTTTGTAGATGTCTTTCGACCATAATCTAAAATTTGGTCTAAGGTGGATGTGTTGTCCATCATTTGTATCTTGCGTTTGAGATGTTCCAGTTCCTTTTTGAGATCGTCCAGCTCATGTTTGAGCTTTTCTTCTTTCTTGTGACTGTCTTCAATGATGCTGTCGCTGTCAGATATTTTAGATAGATACACCTTTTTGGCGTTTTCTAGAATGCTAACCTGACTAGACAGAGATCTATTAACTTTTACAAGAATTTCCCATTTTGCATACAATTTTTTATATTCTACTTCAAATGAAGGAGCAGGTAAATCTTGATCTTCTGATGACACATACTCTTCAATTTCTGATTCTTCGCCAGTTGTAGGATCAGGTACTGTAGTTGTAAGAGCTGTAAAGGCAACAAAGTTTCCGGAGATCTCATCTGGATCAGATCCTGGATCAGTTTCTGGTTCATCATCATCACTCCAGGTAAGGGAAACTTTCATTGACTTCTTCCTTCTCAAATAGGTTGGGCATTCAGCCTGCACATGACCGTACCCTTCACACTCATAACATTTGATCCCTTTGCCTCCGGTTTTGTCTTTGGATTGAGAGTTTCTAGATGCCCCTGGTCGTTGGTTGGACGAGTTTGATTTTTGATTGTTTCGATTAGCACTTGACCCCGGTCCTCTTTGACCTTGAACCTTACCAAATTTTCCAGTTTGTCGTTTTACCTGTTGCAACAGTTTAGAAAACCCTTTAGTTAAAAAGACTACTGGATCGTCACTTACCTCATCTGGATCAGAAACTGTTCCAGAGTCTTCGACAGAAAAGGCTACGGTTTTTCCTCCAGACCTTCTCCCCTTGAGCTCGTAGATGCATTTTGGTGCGGACCTTCCAGTACGCATAGTTGTCACCTGTTAGTTCAGGAGGTGCTCTATGTCGTTCCATGCTGTAAGACTCAATGCACAGTGAGCAACAAGTAAACCTGTAACACCCCGTGTTACGATCCCTAAAACCAATTAATCATTTAACTAATTACCCAAAAGAAAGAATTAAATTACAATAATTAATTAGGAAAAGGGCCCACCATAGTCCGTGGGCCCTCACCTCTAAACCCAACCCCTAGCCCTAAAAGGAATAGAATTAGTAAGCCTACAATATTAGTCCCTAATTAGGACTCCTAGATATATAAATAGGGGACTTAAGAGGCACCTAGAACCCCCTACCACAATAATCCCTCACCACACAAGAAGTTCCAAGAATTCCCCTAGGAAAAATCAAGAAAGAAGAAAGCTTCAAGAAAGACCCTTCATAGCCAAGGAATTAATTAAGGCTAAAAGGTAACCCATGTCTCAACAAAACCTATTTTCATAGCTATGATTCCCCTCTTAGGATTTCCCCATATTATTGTGTATTGATGATTTGTGATATTATTATAGATGATTGGTGGGATGATTCCATGGGTAATCTTGATGATGAGAGGTTCTTGATAATTATGGTGTTCTTGATGATTATATGACGTTCTTGATGATTATATGGTGTTCTTGATGTTCTTAATGATTATATGAGGTTCTTGATATTTATATGATATTCCAACCGAATCTTGATTTTGGAAGATGAATTGTGTTCTTGTTGATTTAAAAATAATTACAACCCTAGGTTATATCGTGGAATTCGTATGGAATTATTCTTGGTATATTGGGTGGGAGTTTGCATGATTGGTGATTATGTTTAGAAAAGCATGATAGGTTATGTGCCGTATGTTTCTTGACTTTTGATCCGTTAAATGTCTACGTGTGTTATCAATTGCGTTTGAAAGTGTCTAAGCATGGTTTCGGGTTCCACAAAGGTTCTCGGGGCATTTTTGGTGAAAAAGAGTCAGTGGGGGGTAGGGGACCCGCCACCTACCCGCGGCCTATTTGGGAAACACCGGCAGCGGGCAGTTGCCCTGTAACACCCCGTGTTACGACCTTTAATCTTGGATTAATTATTTAATTAATTCCGCTAATAATAATTAAATATGATTAATTAAGTTAAGTTCCCCTTTAATTAATTAATGGGGTCCACCATGAACCGTAGACCCTTGCCTAAATTAGAGGCTTAAGCCTATTAGGAATAAAGATAGTAAACCTTTTACTATTCAGATTGTGATTAGGATCCGCTTTAATTAATATGGACCCTTATCCCTAAAGCGAGTCCCTGAATCCTATAAGGAATAGGATTAGTAAACCCATACCATTCAAGCCCTAATTAGGAGTCTTAAATATATAAATAGAGAACTTAGGAGACACCCAGAACCCCCACACGCATAAACGCCCATCACCCCAGGAGAGCTCCAAGAATTCCCTTAGAAGAAATCAAGAAAGCAAGAAAGCTTAAAGAAAGATCCTTCATAGCCAAGGAATTAATTAAGGCTAAGAGGTAACCCATGTCTCAACAAAACCTATTTTCATAGCTATGATTCCCCCTTAGGGTTTCCCCCATATTATTGTGTATTGGCGAGATATGATGATTATTATTGATGTTTGATGTGATGATCCCATGAGGGATCTTGATAATCTTGATATTGGGAGATTCCTGATGATTACGGAATTCTTGATGATTATATAGAGTTCTTGATGATTATGTGTTGTTCTTGATAATTGTGTGATGATCTTGATGTTTATGTGTTATTCTTACCGAATCTTGCAATTGGAAGGTGAATCGCATTCTTGTTGATATAAAAACAATTAGAACCCTAAGTTGTATCGTATGTTATTATTCTTGGGTTATCGGGTGGGGAAATCGCATGTTTGGGGTGTTGATTATGATTAGAAAAGCATGATAGGTTATGTGCCGTTCGTTTATCGTGTTTGATCCGTTGATTGTCTATGTGTTGTCGTTAATTACGTTGAAAAGTGTCTAAGCATGGTTTCGGGTTCCACAATGGTTCCCGGGACGAAAATTTGATGAAAGAGTCAGAGGGGGTAGGTGGGGGGTAGGGGACCCGCCACCTACCCACGGCCGAGAACACTGTTCCGGCAGCGGGCAGCAGGCGGGCGGGCAGCTGCCCGCCGGCGACCCGCTGGAATCTTCCCCCCCTCGGGACCCCGGCTTCCCCGTTTG